ATGCACAAGTAAGCATCCCAAAACCGTCATGTGGAAGCAAAGAAAACAACATGTGCAAGTGGGGGTAAGGCGTGGACTAGGAAATGCCACTTTGCTCCGTCACGGTTAAGATAAAAAAAATAGTGGGGAAAAGTAGTAATAGTAGTAGTAACGAGAGAAAAGTAGTGAGCAGGACACCTCACAATCCTTTACATCCCCAAAAGGTCCAATGATCCTATGAATGACTTGCTGTTAAGTGAATTGTGTATTTCCAGTAGCTACGTGAAATTTGAAGTGATAAATGCCGAAATTCACAATTAATTAATCGCGGATTCAGCGCTACTTCCACCATTTGACAATGGGTTAGAAGGGAATAGGTTTCCGCAAAGACTGTCAGCTCCCGCGCGATTGCTACCAAAATCGCAAAACCGTGGGAAGTTGATAAAACGATCTGGTGTGAGGGCATTAAATGCTTTCCCTATGGGTTGGATAAAACATTTCAACGTTTTCGGATAACCAATTCGCTATTATTTGCACCACACATAATAAAACCAAAGCAATTAAAGTTCATTACGGGAGTCAAACGCATGAAAAGAGGATAACAACAATAAAACCAGCGTCCAACAGAGTTATCAACACTAAGTAAATATTTGTGATTCACTCAACTTTGCATTTGAGACAACGCCAGATATTTATATTTTCGGGAAATTTCATATTATCTCAGTGTAAGCAAAATAATTAGATAAAAATAATAGTAGACACTAAATGGAGCCATATGGATTAAAACTGGCATTAGTCCACACTGAAGGTGCGTATAAGGTGATGGATTCAAAAATAGCAAGTTCAGGCATCAAAGTGAGGTTTTCAGAGCCCAAACTACCTAACTCAACATCACGAAACATTCTACATAATATACAACAGTGAAAAGATGAATTCGGAAATAGCGGGAGCCAATTTGTGTTAATTGAGGAGCAAAGATTGCGATCACCATGGAATGTTATCATCAACTTACATGGCGAGTCTGTTATGGGAGCAGGTATTTTGATTATGACGAGCTAACATAGGGGTGGTACGATGCAGTGAAAGTAGACTGTTTGGGAGCACTGAAGCGGGAGGATTGTCGGACAATCTTTTTGAACCACGACGCTGATTAAGACCCGATTTTGAGATCCTAAGATCATCACAAATCAAATAACCAAGAGCAAGCATACGACATACAAAGCAAATGTGACCAAATAAAAGTTGGGGCATTGTAAGATGATTGAAATGAACTATTTCGATAAAAAAGCACTACAATGAACACTTGCAATGTGGTTGCGAAACCGGGTCGTATGCTGCTGGCGGTGAAGTATGCAGCCTTGACATGTAAATCGCAGTATCGACATATGTTCCTAAAAAAACAGAGGTTGTAATAGTAAATAAAGTTGCTGCAACTTCGCAAGTTTTCACGCAAAAGGTGAAAAATTTGGAAGTAAGCCAGGACCGTAGAAATGAAAAAATCAGTCAAGCACCGATCTTGGTCTTTACTAATAACATTTAAGTAGATAAGTTCCCAAAGATTAGGCCATGCATGTGTGAATGCTCAAAATAGGAGTGAAAGCATGATCTCCAGAAAGAGGATTAAGAAGGAGATCCACTAGATTCAGAGTATCAGGCAACGAAATTTCCAACTTGATACACATGACCGCCTAGTATCCAAGCCATTAAACGATCTCCTTTTGGAAAACGCCCAAAATTTTAACGTCATGGAACGAGACAAAAATTGAATCACTGTTTACTTATTAACGATTCTATTGCAAGGTCTTCCAACTTTGGTGATGGCAGCACAGAGTGCGAAATCCAGGGACCTTCCAAGAACCATTATAAACGGAGCAGAATCCACGGTGATTGATAAGCTGACGCCATTTGTGCTCGTTAAGTTGTCACTCTATCGGATGATAGATAGGAAGCAAGTGAAAAATTATTATACATAATTCACTATAGATGGTATAATTGAGCACATGTAGGAACTTAAAATACAATAAATCTAGCGAAGTACACAAAACCTAATCCACAGGTTTACCTCTCTAGGTGGAAGTAATTTCGGTTTAAGAATTGCCACAACGGTTCCTTCCTGTTCCTTCCACAATTTCTCATGCACAGCTCCAAAAAGGAAGAGGCTGACTTTGCAACTGTTAAGAGCTCCGGTTCCTACACTCACCAAATCTGTCAGCCGCCAAATTGAAAATATTTTGCTGTTTTGACTGCGATGTGGTGGTGTCTTCGAACCGATTACGCCCACAAGCACCGTAGCCTCTGTCTTCACACTCGGTGCACTTGACTCTTTAGCCTCTCGAACATACTGCGATAGACTGAGAACACGCCGATTCCTCGTTCTTGTTGCCCACAGATGCGAAGAGATTTGCGGTCGCCTAAAATTTAATAGTACTGGCTAAAAATACGTAAAATTAAAGCAGGAAATACCTTAATAAATGTGTTCATCATAATTAAAAGGTGGTTCTCAATATGGTAAAACTAGAACCTACATGACACGTATATTTGTGGGAGCAGCCACGAAGATCTCATCATTTTTCAACGATAATGAGCAGGAAGAGGAACTCATTCGAGAGCTACCAAGCATTGTCACTGGAAACATGTGGAAATGTTTTAGATCATCGAGAAAAGGGAGTAGTAATACCACATAACATAATGTACTAAAAAGAATGTTTTATATATCGACTTGGAGTTTGATAAAAAAACACACACAGCCAATAACCGCTTTTCTCTACTAAGCCACAAATTATCTCAAATTGACAATATTTGTGGTTAGATAATCCGAGTATGAACTTACGAGCATTAGCGCGTTTGGACTCACAAATTTGCAAGGCCTTTTGCTGAGTTTCAGTTAAAGAAACTTGTGGCTCAATATTTGTAACTTGCTCAGAACCGCAAATAACTTGTCCAAATTCCATTTCAAGACGTTTTTCCTGCACTTCAGAGACTACTTTCGGTGATGAGTCTCGAATCCCTAATTCATACTTACCTTGTCCCAATCGTTGTGTTGAAAGAAAAGGAATGCTTCCATTTTCATTTTCATTTGACTGGGAGTTAATAAGTTCAATGTTGGTAAGTGATGATGGTAGGAGCCTCGTAACACTGACGTCTGCAAAGCAAGAATATCAGTGCGGAAGACACATTTTTTTAATAAGGCAAAATCTGGGCCAATCAACGTGCTTTTCCACCAAATTGACAACAGCAATAATAAATTCGTAAAAACAAAGGTTTGCCTTGTTTAAGGACGTTTGTAGCAGGCCCTGTTCAATTTTCTTCAAGAGAAGATGAACTTCAAAGCGTAATAGACTAGCACAGCGACAGTACTGATGATAGGCTACGATACACTTGAGCGTTAAGCGAACCTCCGACGGTCTGAGCGAAGACTGATGGTGTGGAACCAGTACAAATGGCGCCAGTTCTCGTTCCACAGGACTCAACTCCTTCCTCTTCTTCAGCTTCCTCCTTAACATCATTCCAATCAGAGCTATCACTGCTTTCACCATCGGAGTGAGCAAGGAATACATTGATATCATCGACGGTTAATGGAGCTTTAGCAGATAGAGTATGTACTGCTTGAGCTCTCAGGCCTGCTCGAGGTGCTGATGGAGGAGGGTTCACAGGTTCCTAGAGTGATCAGAAAGACACAAGCACGTTAACCACTGCGACGCAAGTCCTAGCAGAATTAGCTACCACCACCGACGACGATGCTACTATTATCCGAAGACGTTTCACCCTCTAAGTAGAGTAGCGAAACAAGGAACTGCGTCTGACTCTCAATTTAGCAGAATTAGAGCCAATTTGATACAATACACAGCGGGCTACGACAATGCAGTTTTTGAGGCTATTGCTTTGTCATGAAGTACAACGCTTGACTGACAGTAATAAACGTAGCGAGACTTGCAAAATTACGCCTTTTACTACTGCCAAGCATCATTGTCTCTTAAAAAGGCATTCCAAATTAGAACCAACATTTTAAGCAAGCTGAATCTTATAATAGCAAACACACAACGCCTTTCAAGCAATGCAGTTCGTGAAACTAGAAGATAAGAAGATACATGGCAAACGGATTTCCGTTAATGGAAAAAGGCTGTGTATTTAGATCAGGCAACCAAAACATGTACAGAGAAAGTTGCAGATACAATAATTAATATATACAATAGAAAAAAGTTCGCCCTAACGATAATAAGTATGTCGCCACGTTGAATAACCAAAATAGCTCCCTTGTGTACCATAGGAACTCCTCGAATGTCGACCGCAGACGGACTCGTCCCGCAATGAATAACGTTCATTTCGAGCACCATGATGAGCACGATACTGACCTCTGTAAGTTATGGGGTCAAATTCTTGGAGCACCGATATATTATGATGGCACTTATAACTATTTTCAACGAAATATAATTTTTCCTTCCGAAAATGACGCCTATAATGGTGGCGATCGTCAATGTCACAAGCTTGATTGTCGACCTCTCCCTTATTTGATCGTCGAAGCCTATTCTCGACTCCTGAAGAGGAATTCAAGCACGACTCCATCGCAACGGACTGTCGCCACCCATGCCTTTCCTCATGCAGCTCAGATCGAGGAGCCAGACCATCCATTACCGGAAATTCTTGAGTGTTTTCTTCCGTTGGCACTCCAAATCTCCTAAATACATCAGGATCACGCTTTGCGCGTCTAAGTGTGTTACGAACCCGGTTGTAGGCGCCTTGAGAATTGGGTAGATTTTTGTAAGGCTCAAAAGGCTGGATTCCAGAGCTAAAAGCCTCAAGCTCAGGAAGTTTTTTCGGCGCGCATGGTATATTAAGTTTACCATTTGCTGAATATGAACCAATATCAGTTTTTGCAACTGCGTGAGAGATACTTTGGGGAATAGCAGTACCCTCTTCTGATTCAAGATCTGGTTGCTCCCTGTTCCCTTGGACAACTTGTTCCTGATGATAGGCTTCCAAGGTGGTAACATCGGTCCTCATCCCTTGTTCATGATCAGAGCCTGAAAAAAATAAAGGAAAGTTAAAATACAACAGATTATTTTTAGTTAATTTAACAAGACATTCCTCCTTCCAACTACCTATTTACTTCACTGTGACGGGTACCACAACGCAAAGTGGAACAATTAAACACAACAAATGCCATGCGACGATCGCAAAAAATTAAGGACGTAAATATGAAGGTGATTAGTTTCTTACAGAGCTAAAAATCCAAAGCTTTAACAATCAATCAGGCACAATTAACGCAGTTCAGAAAGTCTTACAACAACCATTCATTTACGTTGTTTGTATCAAGTCAAAAGACAACCTTCTTACAAAAACTACAACTCAATAAAATAATAGAGCTTAAAATCCTGCTCCCAGCCAGTTGT